AATCTATTGAAAAAAGATATTCTGATGTTAGAAAACCATATATTTGATCATCTCGACATCGAGATGTATGGAAATGGGTATGGAAATGGGAGACAAAAATAAAAAAGATTTCATGTCCTAAAGATAGTGTGTCTAGCAACACATTATCTGGGCATCCATTTTCAAGATTTTCATGCATTTATATATTTGCTTGATTTTAACTATTTTTTAAGTTTTAAATAAATTTTATAATTAGAGAGAAAAATAGATTCTCTGGCCATCCTAAGTATTTTCGACATCAAAATGCAACACATTATTTGGGCATCCATTTTCAAGATTTTCATTCATTCTTGATTTTAACGATTTTTTTAGTTTTAAATAAATTTTATAATTAGAGAGAAAAATAGATTCTCTGGCCATCTTAAGTATTTTCGACATCAAAATTACATTTTATAATAGAATTTTATAAAACTTATGATAAAATTTGATACAACTTATGATAGAATTTGAATATGCGCCTTGCTTTTAAAATGAGAATTTAAAATGACTAAATTACCCCCATCATTTTTTAGGGGTATTTCATTCAGTTTAAATTTTGGGAAATATTTTTTATATATTTTTTAATTTTGCGCCCTATTTTTTAATACACATATAGTGATATGCATTTTGAACCATATGATGAAGATCTGACAGTTGGGATTCCACCTATATTACTATTCATTATAGCTGCTCAGCTATTGTAAGGTTTACTATATATATATATGGGGAAAAGCTGGGATTAGCCCACTAACTCATTTGAACATATGAGCCTAACTGCCCTGATTGAATCTGGGCTGATCTGACGATTTCCGGTAGTGTTTGAATTTTATTTTATTTTCTACAGATCCAAATCACTTGAAATTTTAGGTGTGTGTTCATAAAAAATAGTTGAATCTTCAAAAACTATTTTACATGAAATAAATTGACCAAAATACCCCCAAAAAGTTTCAGGGGTGTATTTTGGTCATTTAATTTTTCATGAATAAATTTTTTTACATTTAATTAAGTGCGCCTTGATGAGAAGAACACATAGTGATTTGGATTTGTAGAAAAAAATTAAAATTCAAACACAAAATGAGGTAGTGACCTTCAGATCGGCCCAGATTCAATCTGGGCCGGTGGGCTCACATGTTCATATGAGCTAGTGGGCTAATCCCAGCTTTTTCCATATATATATATATACACACACACACATATAAATATAGATATGTATGTATATATAGCCAAGAGATTTTCTACTCGCTAGGGAGTATACTATCCGTTTACTTCATCGGAAAAATACATGCTACGAATATTTTTTAAATCTCAAATTTTGGGGATTTAATTTTTATATTCAATAGAATAATCTCGGCAGAAAACATTTCCAGAATAAACTATCTCTATTCTACAAAAAACTAATTCTTCAAGATTGAATGGAAACCATCCAAATTTTTAGGGGTTAGATCTAAGTGTTGCAAAACTCTAAATTCAAAATTTTTCTTTTAAAAATAATCATCTATTAATTCTTACGTGGTGCCCAAAATTTTAGAGTAAAAGAATCCTCCTAAATAGGTGTTTTGAGTGAGGGAGTAGATTAAAGTATTAAAGTATGCTCTCGCGGGAGCATAGTATATGCACTCATATAGATATATATATTGCAACGGTTTTATAGTAATATAATATAATGAAACAATCTTAAAAAATCATGCTAGGCTATTTGTTTGACCTCAATATTTACACACCGGTTTTATAGTAATATAATATAATGAAACAATCTTAAAAAATCATGCTAGGTCATTTGTTTGACCTCAATATTTACACACACTCTTTCAATTCTGATGAACAATCACAAAAAAATAAAATTTGAAAACACATACTAGAAAGTGATTTTTATTTGTAATTAACATTGGCCATCCATTTGATCAGATTCTTAGATCTAGGCCTTAGAGGCATTCTTTTTCTTTTCCAATTTTGATAGATGGCTTTATCATCATTGGATAAGCAATGTTAGAAAAGAAAAAAATGATTTTGAGCTCGTTAAAGCCTAGATCTCAATGTTCATCAAACGGACAATTTGGATACATTATTTGAGAGAAACTCGTTTTAACCACATCTAGGGCGTGGATTGAATTTTTCTTTTTGGATTGGATTGTTAGGATGATGAGAGTGTATGTGCAAAATTTTGGGGTCATACAAATGCGGCAGACATGGTTTTTTATAAGTATCGTTTCATTATATTACAATGGCCAAGTGACATGAAATCACTCCTACATATGTGTGTGTGTGTATTGGGGGGGGAGGGGGAGTGTGTGCGTGTGTGTTTATATATGCAAGTGTTCCTTCTGTATGTGTAGCATAGTAGTATAGTTAGGCCACTCCTTTCAAAAACTATGTTAGCAGATTTGTATGACCCTAAACTTTGCTTAGACACTCTCGATCAATCCTAAAGAAAACAAAATGGATTAAGGGTATGTACAGTATTATGGGTTAAAAAGAATCTCCTCAAGACCTAGATCTAATTTCTCACCAATTGGATGTTCTACATTTATTATGTTCAAGAGAAGCATAAGGTTTGTGGTGCATCATCAAAATTTTGTTTTTCATTTTATTCGTTAGGTTGAAAAAAATTGTATCTGTAAAATTCGGAGTCAAACAAATGCAGCTAACATGGTTTCTGAAAGTGCAGTTTTATTATATTACTATGAAATTGTTTCTTGAAATCATTGTACACACACACACACATACATGGGGAATAAATTTTTTGGGTTAAACGAGTTATGCCCCCAACAAAAATATTTCCCAGTATCTGTTAGGCCCAAAATTCTGGGGATGGCTGTAAAAATACTAGATGAAAAACTCAAAAGAAAGTTTTGTTTTTAGCCCGTCTAACACTAGATCCAGGAATGCATCGAAACAGATGGCTCATGTTAACCCAATTATGTCTATCCTCATAAGACCATTGTTTTTTTTTGGTGGGGGGAGTGGGGGGGGGGGGTGGTGTTTGCTAGGGTAATGATTTAAAATAGTAGCCCATAACATCCAAAAGGAGATAGAAGAGGGGGGGGGGGGTTCAAGGTGTGTTAACCCATGGGTAAACCTGACACATACGCAGATCACATATGATCATCACCATCGTCAGAGCCTTTTCCCAACTAATTGGGGTTGGCTACATGAGTCAAGGGCGCCATTCTGCTGTATTAAGCACTATACCCTTATTAGGGCCACAAGTTCCATATTTTTTCTCACTACTTCCAACCATGTACTTTTGGGCCTACCTTTTGTCTTTTATGAGCATTCCACTTGAAACAGATCACATATATGTATGCGAAAAAAATTATATGAGCATGTGGTCTTATATGTTGTAGCATGTCATTTGAGCTTGAGGGGTTTGTTCGACCCCAAATTTTGCACATAGAGATCTCATCTAGGCTACGAAAGGGGGGGGAATGAGTCTGCTATTATCATACAGAATGGTTGCAGTCACTGAAAATGGAGCCTCTGTTTTCCCCCTCTCTTGTGCAAATTCCTTTCTCTTTTAATCACTTAGATGTGATGCATATGTGAGAAAGAATTGGGTCCAACAAACCCCTCTAGCTCAAAGCAGCTTCTGCTGCAGTATAAGTCCATTGGCTTGTATAAGTTTTTCATATATATATATGTGTGTGTGTGTGTGTGTGTTTCTTTCTTGTCTAGGATATGTAAATGCTTGCCCATGTTGCAGTGAAACCATGTACTGTGCCTTCAATATGTCTTTTAGAATTTGGAAGGAAGCTGACTTCAGTTTTTTTTTCTTATACAACTGTAGTTCGAGTGTCTTATGAGAATGAAACTTGTAAAAAAGAGAAAAGGAACTTGCCTTCCATATGAGTGATCTGAGTCTTCAGCTATCTTTCTTGGTTTATATTTTTGTTTATGCTCTTGATTGGAAAGGTTAAATGTGCTATTGTTTTAAATGACTGTAACCTTAGCATTTCCATGATGATTATTTTCTTGAGGTCATTCTATTCTTTTGATCATCTGAACTGCATTCTGTAAAAAAGGGATCTAAAGAAAAATTCCATTCTTTTTAGATTCTCTCTGCAGTCTGTATATTTCTAATTTTTTTTCTATCTTTTCCATAAGTAAACATACTTTAGTGTTGTTGAAGACATATTTAAGGATGGAGTTTGACATTTTATTCAACAGTAGAAAATGTTTAATGTTTTTTTTTTATCTGTGAATGCTCTGTTTGAGATTATTTTTCATTGTTGGTTGCGATGTTGGAGTAATAACATTCTGGGAGTGTTCGGATGCCCCCCTTATTACGGTTTACAGTTTAAACTGCTTGTTACTGGTGGTTATTTGATTTGTGTGCTTCCTAAGGGCATGGCTCATTGACTCATATAATATGTGGTAGTGATTTCGATTAAATGTGTAATCATGTTTTTCATCTTCACTTGGAACCTCAGGTTGATTTCTAAGTTCGAGAACTGCCCAAAAAAGAAAGGATTGAAGTGCATTTATTTGTAAAGGGCTGTTTGATAGGACTTCCATTCGTCGTCTTTATAACAAATTGTAGATTTGTTTCTATATTGTAGTTGAATTGCATGAGTTCTTTGCTGAACTTGATATCCCTCCGTGATATTGATACTTCAATTTGAGGGAGTGTAGAAAGATGCAAATGTAAGTTTTGATTCAGTAATTTGCGTTAGTATTAGGGCATATTCTTCTTATTTTGATCATTCATTTGAACCTGTAATGACGTATGATTAAGTCAAGGACATATTTTCTTTTAAAGTAAGCAAATATAAGGACCCTATCTCCCCAAAACGAACACACATTCCTCTTTGATTCTTTCCCCTTAATTTGCAAACATTTTATTTTTGAAGATAAATCAGAAATATAGATTTGGGCGTCATATTTTGTGTAATAGTTGTATGCTTTTGATTTATAGTTATTCTTTCAATTGATGTTCAAGATGCTCGTCCCTGAATGACTATTATGCTTTTAATTGTGGCATGCAGGCAATGCTGGGCAAGGATTTACTCCACATGTCATTACTGTTGCTGCTGGAGAAGTGCGTATTCTTATCAAAGTTGTTGGATTTTATATGGTTTCTCTTTGTAATTCTTAGAACAAATGCACAAGTAGATTTTCCATATTTGGATTTATTTCTTTAATTTTTCTGGCACACTTCTCCACAATAATTGATACTCTTATGTTTTCTTATCTTAATCTTATATGTAGAATGTGACTACTAATACAAGAAACTTAGACGGTGTGGTCATAATTAATCGCAATTCCAACAAGTCATTGAGTTTTTATTGGGGCAGATTCTGTGTGAACCTGTTAAGCATGCGCATACATGTGGGCACACTAAGAGATGTACAAGCACACACACACACACACACACTCTTACACTTGAATCACATCTATAGTTAACCCTTGAAATTTGTTCATCTACAGTCTAATTATAAGCTCTGATCAACCAGTGGTAGTCTATATGTAAGGTGTCTTGATTAGGTGGAGTTTAATATATGATGGCTGACAGAGGATGTGAGGGGTACGTGTTGCATGTATATACTGGCCTATAGGTACTTAATTTTCAAGACATTCTCCAGGGAAAGAAAATGCAAGATTTCTGGTTCACAAACAGAAACTGTGCAACCAATCTTTATGACATTGGTGCTCCGAGTGATAGGATGTGTACTGGCCACAAAGAGAGCTGTGTCCAATGCTAGTGATATATGGGGATTGACTCAGGAAGAAGTCAAGTCACCATAACTCTGGCAGATCTTTAGTGTTATATCAAGTTGGAGATGAAAAATGTGATTTTCATGTTATGAAATGGGTCATTCTCAAAAGAAATGGGTCATTATGGCGTGCCCCATCAACAGAACTTTTAACCATGGATGTCAAGGATGACTGGCCATCCCACCTCATCCTCATGGTCCTGGGCACGGACTAGAACTCAAAAAGATCCATCTATAAGTCTCCCTTCTTCCAGGATGTTTCATAGAGCATGGTGATGGAAGGGGTCCTAATTGGCTCCCCAAGTATCCTCCGCATCATATCCATCATTACAATCGGATTATGGTTGGCACATTGCATGTTGCGTTAATGTTCTAATTTTGCGCGGATTTTTTGATTCTCTTCATTCTGGGGATTCCTCCATTTTACCCTCGAGCACCATCTCACCTTTCTAGGTTAGCTATTTCTCGTGATTTCTTGGTGATTGCAGCCTGCACTGATATCAGATTATGCAAATCAAAAAGAGAGAACAAACCCAATAAGCTACCTTGTTCATTAAATATGAAATTCTTCTTCAGGCAACATATGTTACTTCTTATGGACTCCATACCTAAGTCTAAATGCTTCTAAAGACACCTGACCAATTCCCATAACATGCAAGGCCAAAAGTCACCTAAAAACCAACAAAGGCATTTATTAAGACGTTATATATGAAATATGCAAAGCTTGAATGCCATTCCAATCACGACATACTCTCTTCCTAAACTACCTGACTAATCTTTTGAAAACTTTACGTCTTACTCAATCTGCGTCAATTAAAAGACCTCAATGAGGAAATTGATCTTGTTGCACGAACACTCAAGATCATACAGAGGACATTTCCACAAAGGTTTTGGCCAAAGCCAACTTCAAAGAATTCAGGTCTTGTTTGGATGTGGTGTCCAAAGTATGGGTAAAAAGGTTTGAGTATTAAAAATACTGTGATAACTTGGGGCATTTCTGGTACTTTTTGTATGAGTATTTAGATCAATTTCTAATAAGGGCAAATGGTCATTTGTATGGCTCTAGGGTAATTCTAGAATTTTCTAGAGATTGTAGTAATCCAAGGGAGATTTAGGGCGTGTTTGATAGGTGGAAGTTTCTGGAAGTGGGAGTTAAATGTCCCACTTGCATGTTTGATGTTACTATGTGGAAGCTGTAAAGTGGAAGGGCGACCTTCCATAATAGCTTTTTTTAGTGTTAAAATGGGTTCATTTTTAGAAGACCTCTCTTCCATCAAAAATGATGGAAAAGCAGTCTTCCATAATTTGCGGGAGAGTCCCTTCCACTCCCAAAAACTCCATGTGTCAAACACACCCTTAGAGTTTGAAGGCATACATAAATTATCTTACAAAATGTACACTGGATTTTTCTTGATCCATAAGTCAAAATTTGTATGATCACTGGGGCTCTGGAACAATCCATGGATCTATAGATACATAGAGGTCATCTTCCTTGTGTTCGTGTCAATGTACGAGAGTAAAAGAGAGAAGTAAGAGATTTAGGAATGCGTTCAAGGGTAGGTGGTTAAGTTTCCGTTCCTACCATGAGTAGGGGACTGCTTTCCCGCTGGACTAAACCCTGGCTCAAGTAAATTTGTAGTTGTTATTTGAGAAATTCAGTGATTGATTTTGTCTCTTTCCTTGTGCTTTCATTTGCAATGTCATCTTTGTAATTGGGTGTGAGACTCAATGACCAAAATCTTTGGCGTGTAGCTCTAGCACTACGTTGGAGAATTTTGGTGTGAAGTGAGTCCAAATTTTCTCTGCAGTATGTTTATACCCTTCTGACCCCTTACATTCTGGATTTCCTGTTGTTTTAAAATACTCTTAAATGTCAATTAGTTTGCTCTTCATTTCTCAGTTTTTCCTCCTCTCGTTTGCCAATTTCCTGAAAAATTATGACCTTTCTCTCAAACTCCCAAATAATTCATCACCTCTGAATTTCAATTTCACTTTCACAAACTGAATCATTTTAAAGAGCTTAGTTTAATGTTCATGAGTCCACACAACATTTGCATCTTTGAACCCTTGATGCTCAGGACACATTAATTCGATCATGGAGCAGCATTCCTGTACCTAGGTTTTGACGCTAACACTGGGGCAGATGGTCAGAAATGGAGTTGCTTATATATTTCAGAAGGAGCTCCAGAAACTTTTCCTCACAGTAACTAAAAAGTGTTCAATCTCAGCGTATTTGCTGTGAATTCTATCTGACCCTTATAGTCATTTTGTTTGAAAGAATGTAGGACTCATACTATGTAATTGACATAATTATTTGTGACGATCAGTTTCCAAAAAAATAGGCAGTCCACATCCCTGGTGCTCCACACCGGGTAAGTATCTAAATCAGGAAAAACAAAGCCCCATTAACAAAAAGGGGGGCTGATGGAAGTGAAATCAAATAAACTGTACGGTCCCACCACTACATCAGAAAAGAGGCGAGCGGTAGATGGCTGATACTGAGGCCTGTGTGTCCTTTATGACTCCAACAGCTGCCCCTTAGCAAGAGAGTCAGTGGTCTAGTTGGCTTCCCTTCCCACATAAGTGAAGCTGATTCGTGGAATCCTGCATAGGGAAAATATTTGTCCAAAGAAAGTGGTGAGTCTCCATGGGCAATGGACTCTATTTGTGGCACATCATATGATTTTGTGAGTCCCCCACCCCCTTGATCAGCCATGATGTCCTAGTTGGTGCACCCTTCTGAAGCCTTCAAGTAATGCAATCGTGTGGGCAGTGAAAAACAGTGATGTTTCCTAGAAGGAGAGCACTTTGTTGCCTATGTGGATCTCTTATAATCAAATTGATATTGGAAATTTTCTTATTGAGTTCTGGCTTCTTTGCTTTTCGTGTTTTTCTCTAGTAATGTAGTAATGTTGACTATCTTATTCGTCAATATATCTATAATAGTATATAAATAAATGCATCATTGTCGCAAAGGTTGGTTTTTCTTCACAGAGTAAAAAAATTTAAAATATGGATGTTGGTTTTTCTTCGTTGTATCCTTCACTTCATTCCTCAGTTTGGCCTTCAACAGATTAATGTATTTCACTGATAGCAGAAAATGCCATTGGGCTGTATTCAAGTATGAGGCTTTGAATTTTCTGGCATAGTTCATGCATACGACTTAGAAAAACTTTTTCTGTGTCTAAATTGATGATAAATCTCAGTTATGAGCTCTCATTTGACTTGATTTCAAGCAAGAAATTGCTCGGTTCACTTCCTTAATTATTTTACATCAAGTATTTGCTTCTTTTATGTTGGATTCCGGCTGGCTTATAAACTTGGGCTATTTTTTTGAGCCCTCAAGACCAGATTTTGAAATTATCAAATTTTATAATTTTTATGATTTCGTGTGCCTTCTGAACGTTTCTATATTCTCAAAATCATCAAATTTTATCTTGTTTATGATTTTGTGTGCCTGCTGAAAATTTAAGTATTGTTTTGTAGGATGTCTCCCAGAAAATCATGTCTTTCATGCAACAACGGAAGCGTGCAGTTTGTATACTGTCAGCAAATGGATCCATTTCTAATGCTACCCTACGTCAACCTGCCATGCTTGGGGGAGATGTGACCTATGAGGTGGAACTCTCCTTCCGTATTCGATGCTTGGCTCTTTTGTTGGGTTTTTTTTTTTTTCCCACTGTAAGTCAATGAAAATGTGGGATAGTTTATTTTTATGGTTTAGATGCCTTAAACATGTCCAACTTGCATTGCTTGTCTTTGATCAGTCATGCAGAAGTTGTAGCTGTTCCAGTGTTCGTCATGGCTTATCCTCCTTGACACACCCCTATGATTTATATGGGCACATCACTTCATCTCATCTCGTATTTGTGCTTTGCAATATCTCGGCTATACAGCTCTGTGCTCTAACAAATTTGATGATTGTGGCTAAATAACATATGCCCTAATTCAGTGTTTAAAATCTCAGACATGCTCTGGGACTTGCCAAGGACCCGGAGCAAGTCAGCTTAGCAAATCCTACTGGACTTGCTGAGTTTGGTCTGAGTTGGTTCGGTCACCCATCAGAAAATCCCAAAAAATGGGGAAAAATTAGAAAAATAATAAGAAAACAAAAAGCCTTTGATTGTAATTTTTTTTTTGTTGTCGAAAAAAATAGGCGAACGGGACAATTTTCAACCAAGATCGAGCTAGGGTTTCGAAGAAATCACAATTTTTTAAAACTTCAGCCAAATCCTAATTTGAAAATCAAACTTTCTCATATCTCAGGTTTTTGATTTTTGGTTTTTTTCTCTTGAATCTAATCTTTTTAGCTGCTAATGATGCAAAAAAAAAGCTTAAATCTCAAATTTTATGAATAGGAGCTTTATTGAAAGAGAGATGGTGAATAAGGGGTATGTTTTCTGCCTCACTTTCTATTTTGTTCTTTTGCAAATTTTTGTCAGAGTTGGTGAGTCTATCAGAAACTTGCCGACTTTATCCTAACTAGCCCGGTTTACTTCTGTAACTTGGACGAGTTCATGAGTAGTATCCCTTGGGTTAGTAGTGGGGTTCCAAGCTCGGTAGGCTGCAGGGCCCTAGTAACTTGGGCAAGCTTGTGTTGTACTTGCCTAGCCTTTTTCTCACTACTCTAACTTCTTCTGACCTGAAGAGCTTTGTCTGCTCATAGTGATGTAAGGGGAACTTTTTCTCAATAACTTGGGTTGGTTGTCATGGTATTGATGTTGCTGGAAAATGAATTCTTTCATTTTTCCTTATTTGATTAGTTTGAGTATTTTTTGGTTGCATCATATATATCTTGTGGGTTATCCATTTAGTTTTAGATAACAAACTGTAACCATAATTACATGCTATTGGTCTATCCATATCTAATGGTCAAATATGATGTGTATGCTGCCAAACTTATCAGAGCCAAACTTATCAACCATATGATAATTGCAATTCTGAAGCTGTTAAATAGAGATTGCAATGGAGAGAGTGATCTATGAAAACATGTAATATTTATTTTCACAAAATCTCATTTGGCATGGACTATGTTACATGGATTCTTCTTTTTGCATGATGTACCCTTGTCGGACACGTATTACAACAAACAATGACAGCACATATTTTTTTGTGATTCTTCTTGCTCATCGACCATTGACTACTCTATTTTGTTTTGAGTTAAGTCTTGTTCTTCGTAGGATGGGAATCCAACAGCCCTTACCCTTGTTTGACTCATAAGTATCCATATCCATGCAATATAGGTAATAGGAGTTGCTACTAGCAAATTAATCTAACCTTTGGTAGCACAATTTTTTATTTGAGCTAGCAATGGGCTGCAATGTTCAAGAATATGGGGGCAGCTGCCTAAGCAGTTGGGTGTCCCATTGGGAGACGGATTTCATATTTCAAACCTATCTAACCTATGCTAAAAATTTACATTTAAATCTAAAATTTGCATGGCTAATAGTGCAAAACTTTGAAATTGCCCAAAATTTTACATCATTAGCCATTTAAGCAAAACAAAGCCATTTAATTATGTTCAAGGAATATGGATGTAAGTAGTTATAAAAGAGATATGGGGATATATGGTCTCACTGAGAGTATGGCCCTTGATAGAACAGAATGGAAGAACAAGATTCGTATAGCCAACCCCAAATAGTTGGGATAAGGCTGTTGAAAGCCATTTAAACATGGCCAAACATAGAGCGACATTTTCAAATTTGCATTATAAATTAGAAACAAAGCCAAGCATAGCCAAAAATATAAAATAAGTTCCCAATTTTGCATCAGTTTCAAAAGAAATTTCAACTTTGCATTAAGAATTAGAAACATAGCCAAACATAGAGTAATATTTTCGAATTTGCATTATTAGTTAGAAACAAAGCCAGACATAGAAAAAGATATACTATAAATATTTCAAATTTGCATTATAATGAGGGTATGGCCATTGATAGAGCAGACTGGCAGAACAAGATTTGTTTAGCCAACCCCAAGTAGTTTGGGATAAGGCTTTGATGATGATGAAAGCCATTTAAACGTGGCCAAACATAGAGTAATATTTTCAAATTTGCATTATAAATTAGAAACAAAGCCAAGCATAGCCAAAAATATAACATGAGTTCACAATTTTCCATCAATTTCAAAAGAAATTTCAACTTTGCATTAAGAAATTAGAAACATAGCCAAACATAGAGTAATATTTTCGAATTTGCATTATTAGTTAGAAACAAAGCCAAACATAGAAAAAGATAATACTATAAATTTTCAAATTTGCATTATAATGAGAAATGTAGCCAAAAGTATATTATAATCGCAAAAATAACAAACCCTAAAAAAAAAAGAAACACTCGTGAAGTTTCATCCGAGCCTTATTTGGGCCATACCCTCGGTCAGACCATAAGTCATCAAAAATCTCTTCTCATTACTTCCATCTATGTCCTTTTGAGCCTTCCGTTGTCCTTTGAGAGTCTTCCACTTGAACCAAATTGCCCCTCCTAACCGTTGTTGTTCTAGGTAACTTTCGGTTGTCACAATACTCACAAAAACATATGAAACGTTAAACATAAACAATTAAATATACTAACCTTTTCAAACCAATTGAAGTAGGCTTGAATTAGTGACTTTCGGTTGCCAAAAGCTCTCCTTTATAACCGCTTAATCCCCAAAAAGTTTCAGGTCTAATGTGAAATCGAAATTCTTGGAGTTTGAATTTGATGCTTAAAGAAATTTGATTTTGAGCTAAAAAAATAGTTTTTAGGGCTCAAATAGAGTACTCTAAGGATTTGGGGGTCAAAATGCCCCCCAAATACTATCTCCAGCGGTCCCGCCTTTTAAAGGGGGGAAATTACATTTTGTTGTTTGCTTTTTGTCGAGGACAATTTCTGTCTTCGCCAAAAGAGCTATGGGCAGGCGCTCAGGCGCTGCGTGACTGCCTAGGTGGTGCCCTAGGCAACTAGTTGGCTGCCCAAAGTCACCGCCCTGCACTAGGCCGCATAGGCCTAGTGAAGGATGGTGAGGCCGCCCTACCCAGGTGGCTTGGCAGCCTAATTTTTTGAACTATGATGGGCTATGTCTATTTTGCATGAAATATTCTGTTAGGTTGTCATATCAGTGTGGGATACTTGACACCCATATGTACACATGTTTTTTTTGAACCTTTTACTTGTTGGTAGAGGCATTGATGTTGTCAATATTTAAAACTTGGATCTTTTTGTATCTCGGAGACGCAATTTTTTGAATGTTGTATCTAGGATATACATTTTGACTTTGAAAATCTATTTTGATGCACTATATCTATTGCCACAAAGGCATAATTGGTTTTTTATGGGATATTTAGTTATTTTTGGTTGTGAATAAAAAGGAACTAGGTAGGGTCTATATAGGCTTCTAGTAGGGCACCAATTCCATTAGGATTAAGACTTCTAGGCTTATCTCTAGTATTCTTAACCTAATAGGATTAGGCTCCTAGATTAGTCAAATTTGTCATTCAACAAAATCTAGAAGCTTCCAGAAGGTCAAAATAGGACCCAAAAATCATGTCCCTGGGATTCCAGAAATATCTGGACCTCAGAAGTGTCGCAATGCGATACAAGATGCTGGGCCCACCAGGTTGAGCGATGCAACCTGTGTCGCTGAACCAAGCCCAGTGGCAGATGATTCTGAAGACAGTTCGGTCTAGTGTGGTGGTAGTCTGATTAAATTTGGACTTGTTTTGGGTATTGCGATTAGTTGTTTAGTGGTTTTCCTAGGGATTATGGACTACTGGAAGGTGTCCTAAGGCTGGTATGGTCCCTGTGTTTTAGGGTCACAAGTTTCTAAGAATTTTTGGTCCCTACAGTTACCCCTCTTTGGTGCACCCTGTTCTTTGAGGAATAGGTGGGCGACGAAGAAGTTGACACATGCTATCAGTATTCAACCTTGCAAGTGTTCCTAATACCAAATGGTCATAGGGAACACTAGTCCATTTTTGGAGCATCCTCGAGATGCCATGTCATCCTACTCAGTCACTTTCATCCTAGGGTTTCCCGACATGAAATGTTTTTTGGGATTTTTCTTTATGCAGGTTCGCCATCAGACTCCGGACTTGATTTTCCGGCCATGCCACTTGATCTTAGGCTTTCCATTTCTCAATTTTTGAATTTGGGTACTTCTTAGTTCCCTTTCTCCGACTTATTAGGAAGGCTTTCCAAAAGGTTTTCATCTCATTCTTCAAAAGTTTCTGAGAAGGCAGAAATGCGATTACATCATGTATGGGATTTCCAACTCCATTTTAGAAAACATTTTTGAAGATTTTGAAAATAAAGAAAAATTTTGGAAACAAAAGTAGGTGCCGGGTGTACAATTTTAAAAAGAAATTAAAGTTTTTGGGGGATCACATTCGAAAAGTAGCCATCTTGGAATTGCTCGTAAAAATAGAGTTTGAAACAAAATAAAAAACTAGAAGATATTGAAGAAAGGGAGATTTTTTTGAAAAATGACCCGGTTAGCAGTTTCGGCTCTTGCCGTCGGGAAGATTTTCTCTTTTGGAAAGAGATTCTTTTTAAAAAATTCTTTTAAAAAAATGTGGGTCGCATCTTGAAATCTTAGCCCTCATGTCACAATCCAAAGAGTTGTTCGAGGTCTTCTAATGAACTAGT